ACCCCAGCACGTCCTGCACGCATGCACGCGGTGGGGAGCATGCACGCGGTGGGGAGTAGAGTCTGAGTCGCTGGAAAGCAGATGCAACGGAGCAGGCTCGTGTGCCCCTGGTCACTCCCAGCGTCCTGATGGCCTGCTGGTTGTACCCCAGCACGTCCTGCACGCATGCACACGGAAGGGACAAGTCCAAAGGGACGCGGATATACACGTGACTGGTCGCAGTGCTGGACGAACTCTCATGGCTGCACCACATCTCCTCCCGCTCAAAGGCGAAAGCTCGGTAGTGAGGGGATAACGTGAGCGAGTGGTAGTTCTTAGTACGCGCTACAGGCAAGAAGCATGGCTTTATGATGCTCTTCCGGGGTCGGTTTTGGCTTGAGAGGCAGGCTCTCCGACAATGCGTCCTTTGGAGATGCCGGTACTCAAGACGTCCCAGATGCTTCCAGCGTATATTTGTGCGGCTAGAGACGCTCAGGCGTGTACGTCTGAGGCACTCGCTTTACCATGAACGCTTTAGTGTCAAGAAAGCACTGCAAGCATGCCATTATAGCTCAATGGCTCAAATGCTGCTCAATGGCTGCTCCGTGTTGATCTAGCTGGAACGAAGGAGGCCAGGAGTTAGGGGGCTCTGCATCCGACATGCCTTGATGGTTGGGGAATAAATGGCGAAGTTGTAACTGTTTCCGGCGCACGCGAGCAACCACATTGAGCCAATGAGAGCGAGCCAGCGTCCCTTGGCGAAGCCATGCGATTTGCTTGCTTCGGCCATGGTCGTACAGAGCAATGCACTCCGAGCTGACGACCCCGCACGTTAGTGATCAACTCTTGTCACTCCGAGTCTGGTTCGCACGAATCCCCCGCGTTGAATGGTTAGTTGTGGCATTTGGCCATGCTCATTCCGGAAACACGCCGGCGATCGTAAAGGTGCACGTCCTCGCTTCTTCAATGCGGATATTGATCAGAAAAGAAGCTGCGTTATCATGGTGAGTGTGAAACCTGCTGATAACCGACGGAGTACGGTGGCCCTCACTTCGGCCTTTGCCATACATGCAACCTTGGCTCTTCCATTTACAACTAACTAGACTAGAGCCCTTCCTGGTTTGAATGCAGATTCCTGAGGGTCTTAGCTTCTGCAGTCAAATCAGTAGGGAAAATTATTCCTTTCGCCGTCAATACGTGCGAGTGATGACTTGGTGCCCTTTTCGAGGTTCGGAGCCAAAACAGGCAGCTATATGAAACCAGTCATCCAAGCTTGCTGCGAAACAAAACATTTTTGGGCTAGCATAGGTACGCAAATCAGGCAAGCAGGCTGCCCGGGGCAAAACAAAACAAACCCATTGGGGCCCGCATGCCGTTTCGGGTTGGGTAAACCCTTCACTCGCGGAGATATGTTTCGTGGGGTGGGTTCGGTATAGCTGGTTGGCGGGGCTATACTGCCTCGGTAAGTTTTAAACGCATAGAAACGCGCCATGTCAGCATGACGGCAGAAGAAATAATTTGCCCCACTGAGTTGATTGCATAAGCTAAAACCCCGATTCCTGATTCCTGAATCCTTCCTTCAGGGGCTTTTTTTGAGGCAGGAGGGGACTTTGGCGGGAAACCTCGGAGTTGGATTGGAGGATGCTGGTCGAAATTTGATGCGCTGTGCCGCCGGGCACACTGGATTGGTGCCACCTACACACACCCTTTTCGCCGAATGGCTTCCTTGTCTTCGTTATCAGCAATTCTTATGTAAAGAACCGTACCTGTGAAAAGGAGGTGAATAGAGTCACAATTTAAATAGTTCACATGTAATAAATGTAGTCAACATACTACTCGATGGTCAAAACAGCTCACATTTATTAATTAGAAAATAAGGTTTGACGGAACCGCCCTCCTATTCCATAAGCTAAAGCATAACAATCTTCCTATCTAGCAAGCTTGGACGAACCACCAGCAATTCCAACAACCATATATCCCGTCTATTTCACTTGCCAATCTCGATGGCATGGCATGTCCCACAATTCCCCCCATTTACCTCGTCGTGCCTCTTCCCCCCATTTACCTCTTCTCACACATGCCTTCCTCTCGCCCTCTTCCTTGAAGCTTGGCCACCCTCAATGCTGCTACCCGTCTCCTCCCCTTCCCCTCCACCATACCCATTCTCCAGCACTCCTGGTTCCCCAACACCCCCATCCCTCCCACCCCTTCAATGCATCCTACCCCTCCGATACCCCCAACACCAACCGCCTCCCCTCCCCCCCCTGCTCCACAACACCCCCCACATGCATGCCGGGGTCCAACGCAAACATCGGAGTCTGCAGGCCGTTCATTGCCGCCGCTGCTGTGAACTTCCCTACGTGCGGAGCGGACTCCAACAGCGCCTTCGTCTTGCGCTTCTTCCGCCCTATGCGCACGGTGTCCATCTCCCCGTGCTTGCGCGCCAGGTTGTCGTAGTGCGCGCGCCACCGCGGCATCAGCTCCTCCCACCGCTGCCACTGCTTCCACGCGCCGGGGAACTTCAAGATCGTGATAAAATCGTCGTGCGACATCCGTTTCAGGCACGCCTGCTCCTCATCCGTCAGAATCGCCGACACCGCGCGAACGCCCAAGTGGACAATCATATACGCCGCGGCCGCGTACCCCTTGGCCGCTTCCATAGGGTCATCCCATGTTCCCAGCGTGTGTCGCTGGCCGTCGAAATCGATGGAGCTCTGGAACCGGCCGTAGAGGACCTTCACGCCGTGAAGCCCGGTGACAAGATTCGGCCGCCGCTTACCCGGTACGGAGTCGGTCGATTGATCGGACGGTAGGGAATTGACGACCATGGGAAGCTTGTAGCGCTCCGCTGCTGCTCCATTTAGGACTTTGGATTTTTCGGCTTTAGGCACAGGAGCCTGTGCTAGGGTTAGGCCGCCGTCGACGTTGGCCACGTGCGGCTGAAGCGCGTCGTTAGTGGCGTCGTTAGAGACGTGTAGCTGAAGCGTGCCGTTAGCGGAGTGAAGCTGAAGCTCGTCATTGATATCATGTCCCTGAAGCGCCATGGCTGTGACGGTTAGGAGGTTGTGATGCGGTGCAGTCAGGCTGAAACTGGCGGAAGGTGCCTAGGAACGGTAGGCCGCGGTAGAGTGCTTCTAAAAAAAGCAATAAGAGTCTGAGAAGGTAGAACGCGGTTATGGCGGAAGAGCAGAGATCTCCTACGCGGTTCAGAAAGGTGTGACGCTGGATCTGTTGCTCACGGGTGCGATAAGGTGGAACTCGGTGACAGCGGAAGAGTAGGGGTTTGGTCAGGTGGTGCGAGCGACCCTAGCTGTATTCGTGGGGGGAGGGAGAAGCTGAGTTCGAGGTGTGTGTGAGTAGCCTGGCAGAAGAGGAGGGGTTTCCTGAACTAGTCTGTGCGGTTCAGAAAGATTGTGGTGGTGGGCCTGTTGGTGACAGCTCAGCGAAGGTGAAACTTGGTGGTTGGGGAGGAAGGCTGGGGTTTCGTGCGCGGTCCAGACGGGTGCATGCAGTTGGATCTGTGGGTGACAGCTGTGAGAAGGTGAAAATTGACGGTTCAGAAGGATATTTAGGCGTACTGTGCATTTCAGAGAGGTGTAGTTTTTGGTTGACTGTGCGGGGGAGGGAGGGGATGGTTGGGTTTGTTGGGGTGGTTGGGTGGGGATGGCGGTGGTTGTGGTTGGGGAGGAGAAGGCTTTCCTGCGTGATTCAGAATGGTGCGCGCGTGCAACGCCGAGTACGATGAGAACCAACAAGAATACACTTCGTGTTCGGTTCTGTGCGTTGGGGTTGGGTGAAAATGAAATTGCAAGTCTGCTTTGCCACACGTGCGAGGAAAGGGAGGAAAGGCGGTTCAGTACGGTAGACTTTCTTGTAGCGTGAAAGCATTCACCACCTGCAAAGTAGCAGCTTCGCGGTACAAGAGCTTCGATTGACACCTCTGTTAACGGTGCGCGAATATGCACTATAATACGTATATGATTACATTAGGTTGCAAAGCATGCTACAAAAGTACACTTCGAATTGCATCCGACTCAAGCTGCTGCCTCCACATCAGAAACATCAGCTTCCTGCTTGAACTGTCCTAGGGAGATCCCCAGGCGTTTCTGCTCCTGCAAGCCTCGTTTATTGAACACCACTGAGCCTCCATTGGCTGATTTGTACGTGATGACTGCACAGCTACACTTCTTGGCACAATGTGATGCCACGTCCCCCGCCAACATGTACTGCAAGTGCACAATCCCAGAAAGAAAATGAAAACGGGAAGAAATGGATAGGGATGTCAATGGCTGTACATGCTGTATAAGATGTCTTGAAAGGCTTCTAAACACACCAAGAACGTCCCAACATGTGGCATTACGAGTGGAAGGGGACAGCGCAAAACTAGTGAATAGAGTGACGAGGAGTACGGCTGAGGGGAGGAGGTCACTCACATGCAAAGTTCGCTTCCCCTGTGATCCCAAAACAACCAGGTCGGCTTTTTCAGCCTCTGCCACCTTGGGTATCACCTTCCTCGGATCGCCCTCCTCCACCTTAACACGCGCTGCGGGGAACCCTTGGGAGCGTACGACTCTAGCGGCGTCGTTGATTGTAGCGCGGATAAACGCGTGGTGGGTCTTAATCTCCGCCTCTGGATCCGGGTAGCTGCTGTACAGAGATGTGAGATCCTTGTCTGATGACGGAAGGGTCAAGAGAGACGGATTTATATTGGAAACGTGAGTAAGATGAGTGGATGTGAGAGGAGGAGATAACAAATGAGAGCTCGCGCTACGTAAGAAGATCTTTCAGCCATTCAACAGAGCAAAACACCATTGGGGAGCAAGGAAAAGGGGGGGTGAAGCACTGTTGAAAGAGCTCGTTTACCAACGTAATTGTGGAGTGGAGCAGTGATAGGGAAGGGACGTGCACGGCGGTTCACATACCTGTGGGTCGAACATGTAATATGATCAGCGTGTCTTGGTCTGAGATTATCGACTTTAGAGCGAACAAAAGAGCAGCGTCGCTCGCGTCGCTGCCGTTAACGGCCACCAGGACTGTTCTAGGCCGCGGCACTGAGTTGGGTTGTTCCGCCGCTTCAACCATCGCGAACCAGCGTGTCGAGCAGGCGGAGCGGGGAACAGATGCACGAGGGAATTGGATGCGGGCGTGCAGAAGCGACAAGTGTAAGCTAGGCTTGCGGGCTTCCGCGCTGCTGGATCGATATTGATGCGGCTGATGAGGCTGATGGGGTCGCAACCACCTGTATTCTCGACTAGGACTAATAGCGTAGCTCGTGTAAAGCGGCAATGCGGGAAGTCGTGACTAAATTACTCTCTGGTTGAGGGACTACTGCTCGTTCATCTAAAGTTTACATAACTCCGCCGCTCGACAGGAGGAGAGACGACAAAGGATGGGCTTCAGGAAACAGACGAATCTGAGCCTCCAATAAACTCCTGCCAGGCGCTAACCGTAGCGGATTCTTCTGACTGAAGCTACGGCAAGCTCGTTCCTCGCAAGCGCAGAGGGAGGGAGACTCACTGCTGAGAAACGGTGGGTGCAATAAGCGCCTACTTCTGGGAGAATTCCAAGTTTCAACGCAGCGTCGTGGATGTACGGCCAGGGAAGTCCAGTGGATTTATCCGTCGTCTTCTAGCCGGAAATCGTCTGCAAGGGGGATCCTCTCGCACGCTCGCTCGCCCGCAACACCCAATTCCTGTTCGGGAATCACCATGGACACTCAAATTATGCCGGAGGCCGTGTTCCTGGTCCATACGGAATGGGCGTGGCGCGGTCCAATTTCGAATCGGAACAAAACAGTCTTTGCTTCCCTGGGGTCAGCCCTTCCTCGCATGATGGTGATGCGTCAAGGGGTTCAGATGACGTGGAATAAGAAACAAGCCACTGTCCAAAGAAATCCCTATCAGCGCCAAGCGCACCGCCATGCCTGTTCGGTTGGCTGTCCTCACTGTTCCCCTGACCACGACGCCTAGAAAAGCGGCAAGGGACATGTCTATGGCGACTCTCATTCACCCCGCTCCATGGTCGTTTCTGGGGACGGTGGGGTTGCTCAGGTCACATTCCAGGCTGTTACGAACAGATGGCTTCCGAACAGATTCCACACTAGAAGGGTAGCTACCCGTGATTCCGAGAAGTCAAGGTGCTTCTCAGCATGATTTCAGAAATTTAAAAGGTAAACATAACCCATTTTCGGGGTTTTCCTATATTTCCGAGTGATGTGACTTCGAATCCGAACGCGAGCAGGGCGGATTTCTGAAACACTCTCAGAAATTTTGAAGGAGATCCAAAAAATACTTGGGACGTGGTTCGGGAACGTCTGAATCCATCTACGAAGCAGGCAATTCCACTTCCGAGCAATCCCAAAAGTTCGGAGACCCACACATCTGTTCGGAGGTATCTGTTTCGAGGCCAGGAATGCCTCCTCACACCGTTACCTGTACAGTTGTTGGTTGGTTCGTTGAGTCGGGCTTTTGCTCTAGTGCTCGCAAGGTGAGAGACATGTGGGCGAATTGGAGGCTCAGGTGAGTGTTTGGGGATTTTCACGCGGCCTCGGCTCAGCCCGAATGTAGCCTTGAAAGGCGAACAGAAGGGCAGGATGTAGGACTGTCGAGGGTGTTGCGTTGCGATGCGGCCGTGGGGAGATTCGGTTCGGAACGGAAACCGGGGGAAACGGGAAAGTGGGAAGGGGGAAGTAAGAAGGGGGAAAGTGGGAAGGGGGGAAGTGTGAATGGGGGAAGTGTGAAGGGGGAAGTGTGAAGGGGGAAGTGTGAATGGGGGAAGTCGTGAAGGGGGAAGTGGAAGTTGGGGAGGGATGCTGGGGGGATGTCGGGGAGTGAGGGTGGGGTGGAAAGGAGCTCGTGGGGGACCAAGTCTGTCTGGGCAGTGATGGTGACGGGCATTCAATTCAGTGTGTCGAGACTCGAGTTCTCCGCTCATCCGCGTGAACGACGTGGTACTGTATAGGCATCCAACTGGACTGTACATAGGCTTACAAAACATGTGCTCTTACACAATTTTTGTCCCAAAGCCTCTGAGTAATGCTTTCGTCAAGTATGGAGGCATACGGTACAATGCGCCGCGCCATACCTCAACAGAGAAAGCGCCGTTAAATAGGCTGCCACGAATGCATTATCTTCTGGTTTCGAGAGCCATTATTTGTGGGTTTCATCCAACTTCCATCCACCTCGTGTGAAAATCACCCAGACTTACCGTACTTTCAGCGCACTTCCATATTGCACCAAGCGGTGGCAATTCGCTGTGGGAAGTCCACACTTTTTTTTTTTTTTTTTCTAGGAGCTTAAATTAGGCAATGGTAGTGCACTTCCCTTTTCTTTACCAATATCGTAACCGTCATTCATTGTACACTGAGTGTGCTGCTGCAGAGCAACCTGCTGAGATACACACCTTATGCCCACTTGCATTGGAACTGCCACATGGCAAGGCAGTTATTGAACTCTGCGAGAAAGAGGGTGCCAAAAACGACAAGGAATTAAAAACAAGACACAGGTGGATGTTAGTTATTTTAGAAATCTACAAAACCTTTCACATAAGGATGCTACACTTAACATCTGCAATGTGGACCCGCTTGTCACCACTTGAATCGTCACTGCTATTTTCTTGAAAAGGAATGGTGAAAAATGAGAGTGGAACAAGAGTCCGGAATTCAGGCTTATACTGCTTCACGACCCGTGACGTGTGAATGCATAATAAGCATGAATTCCTGACCTTGTGTCAGAAACTTCGCGGCAAGATCAACTCACGACCACGATAATCTCTTCCAATCATGCTGATGCTGCAGAATTGTCACTGCGAACTTCCGGACATGAGGTCTGTCTGGACCTCCTTCTCTAGCAAACACTCACCGTGCAGCCGAGGGGATGCATGTTTTAGGCGCGCCTCAAAGGCATACTCTAAAGAAGCACTCACACTGTGTCGTGATGTTTTAGGTGCCTCAAAACCACAATTTTAAGAAACACTCACTGTGCAGCGGTGTAGATACATCATGAACACTTGTCACAATCCCAGCTCCCGAAAGAGAAGCAGATTCACGAGGAAGGACACCCGTTTCAGGTGAAACGGAAGGTGCTTCAGGTGAAACGCTGCCTACTTCAGGTGAGCTGCCAGGTGTGAGGGCCGGCAGGTGGAATCTGCGGTTGCCTGATGACGTGGCGGCTAGCGCAGGCAGGGGTGGAAGGAGAATCCATTGACGGTATCTGGGAGGGAGAAAGGGATACGGGGTAGCGGGATAAGGGGTGGCGGGATAAGGGTGGCGGGATAAGGGTGGCGGGATACGGGGTGGCGGGATACGGGGTGGCGGATCAGGGGTGGCGGGATATGGGGTGGCGCACAGAAAGGTGGAATGCATATGAGGAGAAATGCCATGGCTGCAGCAATGGAGCTGGAAGCGAGGTAAGAAACCCACACCTGACCATTCTCAACATCCGTCCACCATTCCGCACCACACTGTACTGCATTGCACAGAGGCATCAATGTTACCTTGAGCAGCCTGGAAGGATGCGACCTTGGAACCGGACGCGAGGTCAAACACCCACACCTGACCATCCTGCAGTTGAGAGCGGGGGCGGTTAAGAGGGGGGTTGGTTGAGAGGGGGAGCGGTTGAGAGGGGGAGCGGTTGAGAGAAGGAGTGGTTGAAATGGGGCATGCTTTTCACAGGGTGAAGTGGGTAAGTGTAGTTGAGGCAAGAGGTGGCACATCAAAAGCACCCCATCCCCCGTCATGCCTTCACATTCATGTGGCCATGCACCCACCCACCCACCCACCCACCCACCCACCCACGCACCCACCCACCCACCCACCCACGCACCATACCTTCATGCACCATACCCCTCTTCCCGCCTCACCTCTCCTCCTGTGGCTAGATGCCGGTTGGATGGGTCGATGTCAAACGCGATGCGCTGATTGGTGGACGTCACGCACCGATGCATGCTGAGTGGGAATATAGGTATAAAGCGTGACGGCAGTAAGGGTGGATTGTAAGAGACGAATCGATTCACTTGTCTCGTTTCGTCTCCTAATAGAGACAAGTGGATCATATCGTCTCATAGAGACAAGTGGATCATATCGTCTCCTCATAGAGACAAGTGGATCATATCGTCTCCTCATAGAGACAAGTGGATCATATCGTCTCATAGAGACAAGTGGATCATATCGTCTCCTCATAGAGACAAGTGGATCATATCGTCTCATAGAGACAAGTGGATCATATCGTCTCCTCATAGAGACACGTGGATCGTTTCATCCCCTCGTATAGAGACAAGTGGGTCATGAGAGACGAATAGACGAAACATCTCCATCCATATGCGTACAGGTTTCCTCCTGCATGGATATTCAAATCCAGATAGATATCTTCCAGTGTAGGTCTGTCCAGATCCCCAAACCCACATATGTCCAGAGATCCCCAAACCCACATAGCAAAACACACCTGTAAACAGCGCCTGCTGTATTCCGCACATCCCAGCAGTAAATGGTGGGATCCTGGGGAATCGATGGGAAGGAGAGGACTGGTACAACTGAGCGCCAGGAATGGAATAGTGAACATAAGGCTTGAATGCAACAGAAGGGATGCCCCATATGTGATTTTTGAGTCGACTAAAAAATCACCTGGGAATGAGAGGAGAGGAGTGGTACAACTGAATGTCGGGAATGAGAGGAGTGGTACAACTGAATGTCAGGAATGAGAGGAGTGGTACAACTGAATGTCAGGAATGAGAGGAGTGGTACAACTGAATGTCAGGAATGAGAGGAGTGGTACAACTGAATGTCAGGAATGAGAGGAGTGGTACAACTGAATGTCAGGAATGAGAGGAGTGGTACAACTGAATGTCAGGAATGAGAGGAGTGGTACAACTGAATGTCGGGAATGAGAGGAGTGGTACAACTGAATGTCAGGAATGAGAGGAGTGGTACAACTGAATGTCGGGAATGAGAGGAGTGGTACAACTGAATGTCAGGAATGAGAGGAGTGGTACAACTGAATGTCAGGAATGAGAGGAGTGGTACAACTGAATGTCGGGAATGAGAGGAGTGGTACAACTGAGTGTCGGGAATGAGAGGAGTGGTACAGCTGAATGTCAGGAATGAGAGGAGTGGTACAACTGAATGTCGGGAATGAGAGGAGTGGTACAACTGAATGTCGGGAATGAGAGGAGAGGAGTGGTACAGCTGAATGTCGGGAATGAGAGGAGTGGTACAGCTGAATGTCAGGAATGAGAGGAGTGGTACAACTGAATGTCAGGAATGAGAGGAGTGGTACAACTGAATGTCAGGAATGAGAGGAGTGGTACAGCTGAATGTCGGGAATCGACTCACGAACTAAGGATTGATTGCAACAGGCATGCCCCATATGAGGCGAGAGAGGAATGATGCGACAGGCATGCCCCATATGAGGCGAGAGAGGAATGATGTGATAGGCATGCCCCATATGAGGCGAGAGAGGAATGATGCGAAAGGCATGCCCCATATGAGGCGAGAGAGGAATGATGTGACAGGCATGCCCCATATGAGGCGAGAGAGGAACGATGCGACAGGCATGCCCCATATGAGGCGAGAGAGGAACGATGCGACAGGCATGCCCCATATGAGGCGAGAGAGGAATGATGCGACAGGCACGCCCCATATGAGGCGAGAGAGGAATGATGCGATAGGCATGCCCCATATGAGGCGAGAGAGGAATGATGCGACAGGCATGCCCCATATGAGGCGAGAGAGGAATGATGCGATAGGCATGCCCCATATGAGGCGAGAGAGGAATGATGCGAAAGGCATGCCCCATATGAGGCGAGAGAGGAATGATGTGACAGGCATGCCCCATATGAGGCGAGAGAGGAACGATGCGACAGGCATGCCCCATATGAGGCGAGAGAGGAACGATGCGACAGGCATGCCCCATATGAGGCGAGAGAGGAATGATGCGACAGGCACGCCCCATATGAGGCGAGAGAGGAATGATGCGATAGGCATGCCCCATATGAGGCGAGAGAGGAATGATGCGACAGGCATGCCCCATATGAGGCGAGAGAGGAATGATGTGATAGGCATGCCCCATATGAGGCGAGAGAGGAATGATGCGATAGGCATGCCCCATATGAGGCGAGAGAGGAACGATGCGACAGGCATGCCCCATATGAGGCGAGAGAGGAATTATGCGACAGGCACGCCCCATATGAGGCGAGAGAGGAATGATGCGATAGGCATGCCCCATATGAGGCGAGAGAGGAATGATGCGACATGCATGCCCCATATGAGGCGAGAGAGGAATGATGCGATAGGCATGCCCCATATGAGGCGAGAGAGGAATGATGCGAAAGGCATGCCCCATATGAGGCGAGATGCAACAGGCATGCCCCATATGAGGCGAGAGAGGAATGATGTGATAGGCATGCCCCATATGAGGCGAGAGAGGAATGATGCGATAGGCATGCCCCATATGAGGCGAGAGAGGAATGATGCGACACGCATGCCCCATATGAGGCGAGAGAGGA